TTTTATTAAAAAATTTAAATATTAAAAAAATTAGTAAAAATCTTTGCAGGCAAATTTGCCTGTGTTACAATTTAAGGAATAACATCGTTATTATTTTGAAAAAAATTTTTTACTAATAATGATCTTGCATCAGATTATATCTTATATACATCAGATAACCGTTAGACAGATGACGCACATCACCTGCAAATTGGCATCTGACATGTGTTAGATTAGATCTGACACAAAAAAGCATTTGAGGCATAACATATATAAGATTTATTACAATCGCCTATTGTAAATAAATTTTGTATGCTAATCATCAGATGCATATATACAAGATTTATTATGATTGCCTATAGTATATATGCTAATTATCAGATGCATATATACAAGATTTATTATGATTGCCTATAGTAAGTAAATTTAGAATTCAAATTCGAAATTGTTAATTTATTAGCAAAGTTAGCAAGAGTAATTATATTACTTATAATAAATCTAATGTTATAAATAAGACAAATTTTGTAAGTAATGTAAAAAATTTATTACAATAAATACTAATATCTCTTGTCTAGAAACCTTTGCCTTAAATATTTTTAAAAATTCATCTTCAAATAAAATTGCAAGTAATGTTAATGTTACAAAACTTGACCTATGTATATTACAGTCTTGGATATTACCAAATATGAAAATCAATTCACAACTTAGTAAAGAATACTCTATAATTGATTTATATATAAAATAACTAGTAGTACATATCCAGCGATTTGGTTTTTAGGGATATTATTTTAATAGTAAAGAACCCTAATTTTAATATGATCTGATCAAAACAGTACTTCAAAATTGAGATCAAATTAACTGATGCATATTATTTTACTATATCTTATTCACGTCCAACCAATCATTCAAACTATAGGTATATATTATAGTAAGCATTTATGATTAAAAAAATCTTTCAAACTAATGTAGTATATAAGACTTATACTTTTTACTATACTATTAATTTTCAAAAGTTAAAATGCCTACTACAAGTACTTTAACTTGTTTTCGTTATACAATTTGTAATAGTAAGAGAACTTTTAAGTCAAAAGCTGGATTGCAACAACATGAAAGTTTGAAACATTATAATTATAAGGAAATTTCAGCACATATTTTGTTAGTTCCAGAATATAAATTACATCATATCAAAAATGCTATAATAAAAGAATTACAAAAACAGTTGAAAAATCATTACTCAAAAGTTGAAAACCAGGTTTTTTCAATTCATTGTAGTGAAAATAGTTTTGTTGGCATTTTTGGCCAATATTTAACTCGGTATTCTGTTTGTGGGGGCTGGTATCAAAGTTTTTTTGTTGAAGAAGAAGCAATTGATCAACTAACTGAAATATTCGATGATTATCAATGGGCAGAACGAAATTATGGAAATGGACAATTATTATGGATTAAATTATATAAAAATGAAAAAATGAACAAAGCTGCATTAGAATCGAAATTTAAATCAAAAAAACTTTTATTTAGAAAAGGGATTATTAATTGAATGGCGAATAAAAGGATTTAGTGACAAAGCAGAACATCGTTGTGAAAGTGGTAAAGTAAAATTTAGATTTGTAGTTGATCAAGATCAGTTTTAGAATAGTTTTTTTTGGCACTCTTGTTACTATATTGGGTGTGCACTGAATTCTTTGTATATAAATAAAAAATTCTTATTTATATCCAAAACACTCAGTGTTTTAGTAAATTTTTTGAATATTATAGCAATTTTTGTTTTAATAAAATTGGTAAACTCTTAATTTTATTAACTTTTGGTTACTATAATAAATATAGAGTAGAATTTTTTACTCTTATAAGACAGATTACTTCGGTATAGAGGTGAATCACATATTTTCCCAAGTTAAAACTTGTTTTAATTACAGCAATAATCAGCAATGATGTACAAGACATCCTTGAATTTCACTCAAAACCTTTAAATTTAACAGAAATACCTGTACCGAGTAAAAAACAAATAAGTTAGAAAAAGAAAAGAAGCCTGGTTAGTATTCTATTAGCTAAAATTTTTCAGAAAATTACTATTTAGATTGAACTATAACTCATCATTAAAAATTATTTTAATCCAGCTTGAATTTTAAATATTTTTAATTATATTATATGCATATATTTTTGGTTTAAATACATAGATGGAATACCTAAAGAACTTTTTCAGTTAATAGGTGGTCTACCTCCAATAGCTTTTGTAAAGCCTGTTTTTAAAGCAAAACTGAATTTGTGTAAAAAGGCTATTTATTGGTAATTGAAATTCTATCTTTAATTATAGAACTATAATATAATTGATAAGAATTTAATTGAGAAGATTTAGATATAGAATCTGTTTCAAATTACTATCATTAATAATTGTAATATATGGGAATGGCAAAGTTTTACTAATCAAGGACGACTACATTACTGAGTCAAATGCACACCTATTTCTGAATCTGAAGATTCGGGTAAATAAATATTTTTTTTTAACAGTACATAGTTAATTTTTATTAATTTTAATTCTTATTTATGTTATTTTAGGATATTGTTCTGCCAAGTATAACAAAAAAATTGACGTCTTAAATATAAAGAAGAATATGAAAAATATTTAACGGGTACAGTATTAGTCAAAAATATTGTTACATATAATTTATTTCTCAATGGCTTATTTATAGTAGTATTAGCCATTTTATAAGCATTTTCATAGGTTTCCAAAGTTGCAATCTCCTTGTCTCCACCCATTTCATTAAAGAAAAGCATTTATAAAATGAATTCATAGATAAAGATTGGACTAAAGAGGAGACAGATTACTATTTAAACTGTACAACAAATACAATCTTTGTTTTATAGTTATTCATGATCATTATGAATATAAGAAGTAAATAATTGATTTTTTTTTTTATGATTTCGAGCAAAAGATTATTTATCAAATCTATACTAACCTTTTTAAATCTTATAAATAACCAACTAGACTCTGAAGGTGTAAAAGCATTGGCAAAGACTCTATGCGTGAATACAGTTTTGACTTCATTGAATATTAGTAATAATCAACTTGATTATATTTCAAGACAAAAACATATAGTTGGAGTTTATAATAAATGGTTTGTTTGTTTTTTTATAAAGTTTATTATTCACATCGCTTTATATTTAATTTATTATTATTTGATAGTTACTGATTTTCTAGATCGCTATTCTTTAACTAATTATTTAGAAAATTTATTACAACAAAAATCCAACCGGTTCTTGGTTATACTATAAATGCCAATTACTGAATCTATCCAATATTTATGTTGGTAAAATAATAATTAAGATAATAGTATAATGATAATAAACTTTATAATACATACTTCTTTTAAGAATTCTTGTTTTATATCTTTAGAATTTTTAAGCAAACATCTGTTTGTGACTTTCTTATCCATTTATTCTCCTCTCTTAATATATCTGTCAGTCCAGACTGCCTTAAAAACAGTGCCAAAGTCTTCTTTAAAAAAATACTTGATATTTGTAAATTTATTAAAAAGTATTCACTCGATAATGTTTTCAAATTCTTTGGCATTAAGTTGTGTTTGTTTAATAAATTCATCAATATATTTATTGCCACGTCCAATTATGAAATTTCTTTCTAAATCTTAACATAGAATAATAAAATATAATTTCAAAGCATTAATATTGACTATTACTTTATTTCATATATAATAAGTGAAAATAAAACTATTTTCAGATTTAATATGATCTTAGCTCTAAACAACATTAGTATTAATGGAGATTCAAAAAGTAAGATATGACAAACTAATTTTCTACTCTATAGGATGTACTTTTTTTAAAGTAATTTGGTACTTCAAACCATTGAAAAAATAGTTCCTGATTTTCATGTTCTAATAATTCAAGAATACATGATTGTTTATGGTTTCATAACCACCATCTTTAAGTGTAGATTGAAAATAGTGACAAACTTGAAGATGGTTTTTTTTCTTAATAGCTGAACAATTAAAAGCGGCTATTCCAAATTCTTGATGAATGTCAATCAATTCATGAATATGAGATACTAACACATGTATATAAAGTGTAGTATCAGCTACCTTTTTGTTTATATAAACAAAAATTTTAAATTAATAATATAATATTTATAAAATTTTAAGGTGAAAAAAATAGATATATATTTACCCAATACATTCCATGAGTAAAATTTGGTTGATTTGGTTGTCCTTTAGAAGGTTCTAAAAATAGCTTTAACCATGATACTGCCTTAACTTTAAACTCTAATCCCATTATATTCGGTAATGTCATCATCTTGTATAATTCAAAAAAACCAGTCCAGAGCTTTCGAAGTTTAATAGCACATTTTTGAAAAAATTCTTTTGATATAAAATTAATAAAATCAAAATTTTCCAAGATATTAAGTTTGTCGGGTTCTATCAATGATGTATAAGATGAATTTTGTGTTGTATTTTCAATCCAAAAATGAAAATAATTAATTTGTAACCTTTTCATTTCAGTTAAAATTAAATTTTGCATATTTTCATTGAATTGACCATGTTGAAGATCTGATAAAAATAATTCCCAGAGCTGATCACTTATTCTTAATATAGCATGTAAACTATCACATACCCAATGCTTAATCAGAATTATATCAAAAAGAGGAGGTTGAATATGTCTATTAAGTTATGAGTAGGATTCTTTAATATTTTGTATATTTTTAGAAATTGTATTATATTTAACAATGTTGGTTAAATTTTCTTTATTACAATAACACCATGGGCAAAAGTACTTGGAGTTTGCTGTATTCATTCCTAAACATATAGCTAGAAACTTCCAATTCGAGCTAAAATATATCTCAACATTCCAATGTCTTTCTTCAACCTTATGAAATTCATGTTCATTTAAAAATCGTAAGTCTGATATCAAAGATGCTAGTGCATTTTGAAGTAAATGATAATTTTCCATATCAGGAAATAAAACTAATATATAGTGTGATTCTGGTTTATGCAGTTTGTCTAAATTATTCAAAAGTGCAACAGTTACCATGACATGTTTAACTTTTTTGCCAACATTTCGGCCATCTCCAGATATGCATAAATGTAAAGTAGATCCAGGTTTTAAAATCTCTTTTTGAACATATAATGGAACTATATAATTAAGTATATTTGTAATTTGTTGCTATTCACCTTTACCAATAGAAGCAATAACATTAGTAACTATACTTGGATCTGTAATATTAGACTCCTCAGTAATTGGTTCGAAACTGGTTAGCTAATCAATATCAACTAAACTAATAGGAATTTTTTTATTTACTCTATTTGTTATCTCTTGTCTCATATCATAAACTGCTCTAGCTCTAATTAGTGATTCATCAAGTTGAGCCAAAGACCTATATACATTCTGAGAAATTCGATTTTGATCAATTGACTTTACAATAACTTGTATTTGTATTTCTATTTTTTGCTTATCGATTTTTCCATAATTGATATTATATGAATTATTATTGATTTCAAATTTTGCTTGTTTAAGAACTATGTTGTCATTTGGATAAAAAAAATTCTATTTTTCTTCTTCTACAAATTCTAGTAACTACTTTCCTAAATCTAATATGTGTTTGCATTGTGCAAAAGTACTATAAATATTAAATTATTTAATTTGTACTAAACTATTTGATGGCACTTTTTTACGAACTGCTTCTACACTTTTTTATAGCATAGGCCAAAAAGAAGAGATCTGGAAAGCTTGCTTTTGGATTCTACTTGTTTATTGTTTTGAATATTTTTAACCAAAGCCTAATAAAAATTATACAGTATTAAACTTGTATATGTATAATATTAATCTTTAAAATATTTGTTATTTTACCTCACAATATAATTGTACAGCATGTGAAGTTGACTGTTCTGACTCTACAAGCTTGTCTAAATACTCTCCAAAGTATATTTAGTATAATGGTTTATCATCAATATAAGCTATTAAGCATTCAACAGTATATATTTTTTTTTGAATATGTAGTTTGAACAACATAATTGTGGGGTATAGGGTACCTTCCAGGGTGTCGAGTATATGATTTGGTGGATATACACCTTCTTTAATTATATGAAATTTAAATGTTTGATGTTCATCTTTTAGAATAATATCAGGGCTTTCCGGATAGTTGCTTTCTTCTTTCCATACCATTTTGGTAAATAAAGTTTTAAATTGAATGCTAAACGCAGTTTATAACCTGTTAGTATTTAATTTCAACTAGTTGCTCAACCAGTTGTATTATTTATAGTCATCTTTGCTAGATAATCAATGCAGAATTTTATTTTTGTATGATGATGATTCTTGTATATACATATTTTCTAATGGAATAATTTTTGAAATAGTTATATTTAAAAATCGCACAAAGCACATTTTATTTATTTACTTTATCAAATATGTTATTTTTATTAAGGTTTTATTATTTAATTTAAAAGTTCAAATAGAATTCTGCTTATATGTATTGTTTTTTACAATTATTCTTAAAATTTAATGGCAGCGCAATTATTCAATCAATTTTGAAGTTAAACCCATTTTCATATTTGGTAATAAGGAAAAAATATATATATTTTTAGTATTTTATTAAATTATCAATATCTACTAATTCTTATAGTTATACAATAAATTCTACCAGAATGAGGTAATGTGCCATTAAGTTTAATTTTCTATTTTACTATAATTGCATTAAGATTAAACTTGTACTAATGCTGAAGATAAGGTTTGAGTTATATGATTCATAATCTAGAATCTTAATTTTATATTAATAATTTATGTTATCTCACAAGAGCAGATGTGAAGATTTGCAGGTCAGGTTTTAATTATAGTCGACCTCTCTAAATGCACACCGCCAAGACCAAGCTTCACTTAGAGAATAGAAAAAGCATATTTATGAATATCATGTATGTATATATTTGGCTGGAACTAGAGTATGCATTTAGAAAGATTGTACGTTTAGAGAGATTTCACTGTAGTATATTTGAATTGTTTTGCATACTTATATTTATTTTGTAAATAGTGAAACTGGAAAGAAATTCAGATCAATGGATCTTTTTCTATTTGGAATCTTCATCTGAACCTGAAAATAATATCAAACCAAAATAATGATGCCTGCCTTTGACAAGATTATTTTACAACACCTGATTGTTACATAATTAGTATTAAATTTCTGAAAATATTAATTTTATTTTCTTATCTTATAACTGCAGGCTGACTTTTATTACTAGAAACTTATCATTATAAGTTATTTTTATAAACTATTTCAAGCCGGCTCCTGTTTTAGAGATATGTTTGGAGTTAAAGAGAATGAAAATAAAATATGTCAAGATGGGCTATATTTACATAATAAATCACTATTATACAAATAGACTCAGAATTTATTTACTTTTTATTTCGTATTAGGGTTTTTTTATTAAAAATTTATTTAACTTTTTATTTATATTAATGCGCACACTAAAAAGCAAATATATAGACTACCACTATAATATATATATAACAAGTATATTTAAACATGAAGTTTTATAACTTAATAAATGAACCCAAGCAATTTGTACACTATTTGATAGTTTTCATTAAAATAAACTAAATGATATAAATGACTAATTAATTCATAATCTTTTCATTTTAGTTAAAATTAAAATT